CTTGCCATACACCTTCCGACAGGCATCAACAGCTGGCCGCCTGCTGTCCTCAGGTGAGGTCCCGTCCACGTAGTCTTCACTTTTTTGAGGCGTACGGCAAGGTTTTCACTTATGATAGAAAAGTCGGCGCCGGTGTCAACTAAGGCTGTTACTTGCTGTCCGTCTACCGAAACGGTAAGATCTGTGGTCACAGTTTCGTCGGTGTTACAACTTCTCGGCTTTACGGCGTCCTGTGGTACAAGTAACGGGGGCTTTTTTTCGTCGCCTTGACGGCCTGCAACCTCACCCCCGGAGGTCGCCGCCCTCAGTTTCCCCGGCGTGGACTTGCTGACCTCCTTCCACTGACGTCGGCTGTAGTTCGGTGGCGCGACGAAGGCGAATATGCCGGAGACGGAGAGCGTGGTCGACGTCCCAAACCTCGCTGGTAATCAGGCACACTGTCGTCATTATTGGCACGGCGGTTGTCAAAATGGGACTGAGACAAGGGGAGTCCTTGAGAATGAGTGTCCCGGCGTTGTGCGTAGCCGTCGTTGGCGCGTCGATCGTCAGACCATTGCCGAAGAGGTCGAAACATATCTACGCGGTGCCAGCAATGGCGGGAAATGTGGCCCACACCTCCGCAGGTAAAACAAAGCGGGCGCCTATCTACAGTGCGCCAGGCGTCTGTTTTACGAAGCTGTGGACGCCGCAACGGCTCGTAATGTGGCAAATGCCGTGTCTCGTTGGGAGACGGCTCTTGGTACGGCGGCATTTGGTACGGCGGTACGACGGCAGGTCGTCGCGGTGTCTGTTCTTGTGGCGACCAAGGAACGGCTGCCGATGGCTGGCGGTACGACGGCGCAACGGGCGGCGGGCGGCGAAGCGCGGCTGCGTAGCTCATAGGTCGCTGATCGTCAGTAGGATCAGCTGTTGAAAACGCTTGGCGTATTTCTTCGCGGACGACTTCAGCGACAGACGCCATGGGTGGTTCCGTGACCAGATTCCGGAACTTCAGCAGCTCTTCGCGAACAATCTCTCTTATCAAATCGCGCAACGAGCTTTGATTGTCAGATGCCGTAGCGGGGACTTGCATGTGGGCGATGCTGGACAAGCGATCGTATTGTCGGCATCGTAGGTGAAGCGCCCGTTCGATAGCCGTAGCTTCTTTGATGAAGTCTGTCACGGTGCTTGGCGGGTTCCGCAAAAGTCCGGCGAACAGTTGCTCTTTAACGCCGCGCATGAGGTAGCGCAACTTTTTGTCGTCGGTCATGTGCGGGTCAACTTTACGGAAGAGACGGGCCATGTACTCAGCGAACATTGCGACCGTTTCATTGGGTTTCTGAACCCGTAGCTCGAGTAAATGCTGCGCACGTTCGCGCCGGTCGACATCGGCAAATGTGTCAATCATCCCTCTTTTAAAGTCGCTCCATGATGACAAACTGCCTTCTCTGTTCTCGTACCAAGTTTTAGCGCTGTCGTCGAAATAAAAATAGGCGCGGGAAAGCCTTTGTTCAAAGGACCACTGGTTGGTGTTAGCGACACGTTCATAGTGATCAAGCCATTCTTCGACGTGTTCATGTGCTCCACCACCAAAGCGATCAGGCACCAGCGGTGAAAAAAAGGTTCCCTGAGATGGGGTTGGCAAACTACTGTCTCGTAGTAACTGTTGTGGATGGGCGGTGGCCATTGGTAGATCTGGCGGTGCTTTGTAGAGTGTTCCTGTGAGAGAGTGAACCCTGGAAGGAGGCCTCGCAAGCGACGACTGAAGCGATGCACGGGAGTGTCGACAAGTGCTTCTGGGCTGGATGAACGGCTCCCCGTGGGAGTGTGGAGCATCAGGCGGGGTCGCGGGCCAGCACCTCCACCAGTGTCGCAGTACAACGCGAACAAAGCACAAGTACGCCTTGAGGCAGCGAAAGCAGCGTGTTCTCAACAGCTGAGCCACAAGATCTTCGTTCTCGCGTCAAGCCAGAGGCCCACTACCTGGTGTCCGCTAAATCCCCCATCATCGTTGTTGTCCACATGTAGACACGGGTCAATATTATAACCATCTTTCTGTACCTACTGTGTGAAGCCTGCTGCTAGGAATTTATAATCACACCAATTTTTTGGACATTGGTTGACCAGCAGTTGTTTCCATGCAGCTTTCCGTTTTCTATAGCTCCTCATGCAATCTTCAGTCCTCCATGGACTGTAAGGACTTCTTGTGGCCGAGTTTAATTTAAATTTTGCGTCTTTTACTGATCTTTTTAACACTGCACAGAGACTCATAGCCCTAATGTCACCTCGTTTGTCCTTGCGGCGATCAAAAGTAGCCATCAAGTATTTTTCTAATTTTCTATAGTTGAGGAATGAGCAGGCCTTTTCGGTGACATGTATTCTCGGAAAGTTCAGAACAAACTAATAGGCAAGTGGTCACTGTTAGTAGCACAGTCTAAAGTTTGCCACGATAAGTCTGTGGCTGCGGAAAATATAGATCTGCAGTTTCACTGTAATATTGTTAGTGAACCTTTTTTGACGACAGAACCGTCGCAGAAACTGTTTGGTCCAAAATGTCCTTTCGCAAAAAGTCTTTCTTAGACATGTTCCCAAAGAATTTTTTTTTTGGATAGATACTTTTTAGATTTCGAAATATGCGAAGAATTTTTTTATTAAAAGATCGGGTTCGCTTCAGAGCCTTATGAGAGTCCATATCCATATCTGCACATGCTTCCGAATCATCTGTTAGATCACCGTCTTTCGTTGTTTTGGAAGTCCCTGCCTCAGGAGAAACCGCTCGCTGACGTGTTGTCGCACTTTCTATTTCCGTACGCTGCGATACCAATGACGTCTGAGGATCCTTATCGTTCGTAGATCATTCACCTAGAATTTGAGATAGTTGATTGGAAACCAATTATGCGAAGCTTTCAAAAAGGTTGTTTGCGAGCCGTTCCATTGCCTTTCCCGTAGCTTTCTCTATAGCCTCTGCGATAGATGTTGCGAGAGATGCATCCATGGTGGTGGTATTACGTGCTGCAACACCTGCATATCCTTTGGATCTCTCCTGCATTTCTGCAACGGCTTCTCTCCGAGAGCACCGCTTGCGTTCTACAATATCCAATATGCAAGCTACCTTTCTTTTGCTGCACAGTCTGCGGAGTCTGCAGGGTGCGCCCCATTACATAAGCAGCACCTCTCTTTCTCAGAGCTGCACTTGCGGCTGTGATGATTTTCACCCCACCGACGGCATCTAAGAACTGATCGGCACCCTCTGACGCTATGTCCATATCGCCAACGTTTCAAACACTGCAGGGGTTTGGGGGAAAGTGGCTCTACCTTATAGATCAGTGGTCATGCCTTAATTTCGGAAGGTTGGACTGTTCCTAAAAAGGTCCCTATCACCGATTCCGTTGGAGATTTTATGTTGTCAATTGTACGGGTGGACCTGTACCCTGAAATTGCACCCGCCACCGAAAACAAATCGAGCACTTCTGCAGGTGTCAGGCTTGTGTCTACATCACGGACTAATCCTTTCGAGCATGCGAGGTGTGCCGGAATAAATGGGCTTACCGGATGCACTGCGAATTCCGAACATAGCAGGAGCTCACGAATGCATTCCTGATCTGCGGAACAGCACAGGATGCCTCCGCGACCAAACTGGCGGACCTCAGTGATCTGGAAATGCGAAGTGGCTTTTCGAAGCTCCACTTGGATCGCCTTTGGGCTCTTCATCGGAATACTGCCCCCATCTGTAGGTACCAGCGCCACAGGGACACTTCTCGCCCCACTGCGTAACAAATAGTCAATCGACCAATCCTTGGTGGGTGTGGAAGCTAACCAAAGAGAGTGCCCCTGGCCGGGGGAAGAAAATGACATCAAGATCGAATGACTCGCTTCAGCTGAGAAAGACCGATACAGTTTCCGGAAAGTAACGAACTCTCAATGAACAATAAAGATACTGCCGCCCGATCCTGAGCCCGGGCAGCTTCTTCGTAGTCGAGTCTCACAGTACAGGTCGGCGTTAGGCATGAACTGCTCGAGGACACGTAGGAAATGCTTTGGAGTTTTTTTTGTTCCTCTTCCCTTTTTCTTTTTGTTTCCTGCTCTGTTTCTAGTCCTATTTTTTGGTTCTGTCGTTAAACTTTTCCTGTTAGCTTCTAATTATTTTTAATTTTCTTCTTATTGTTATTTCTTTTTTTCAATTTTGTGTTCTCGTTTGCTAACTCTTTCATTATTTATGGGTGCTTTGTGTTGTCACGTTTCTCTCTCCATAGCAGTAATGTCCCCACTTAATATCATCATCAGTGTGATCGAACAACACGAGGAAGAAGATTTCTTTTTTTTTTGTGCAAGCGCGTGCTCGATTCACTAAAGCTGGCCTTGCTAAGTGTGGTTTTGCCTGCGTTACGCCAGTTAACGACGGCAGCGTTGGACAGCGTACGGCAGCGTGCTTCCATAAAGTGCCCCACAATTAAAGCGTCCACCGCGGCGCAGTTTCGCTTTGTGTTATAGGCACCGTCCAGTGGAGTTTTCCAGTCTGACTGCAGAACCAGCTCACATGGCCTAGCGGATAAAAAAAAGCAACCTTGAGACGGCCTCAATGAAAATGGAACGCGACGCGCGCGTTTCGCGCCCTGTATCTCTGAGCGGAAATGGGCCGGGATACACGGGGGACGCGAGCACGTGTCTACTTTCTGCGCTTTGAGACGGGGCACTGTACAAAACTTTGAGACGGGGCAGTGTAAACAACGCAGCTCCATCTGCTCAGTATGCTGTGCCTATACTGCATTGCCTATCTCAGAAGCCCAAATTGTAACCACCCATTTTGTGGTCTGTGGTTTCAGTCTTAAGGAATATTTAGTTTTCGGAATTCTTGATATATTTCCACTCATTTCCTGTTATTGATTTGTACAATATCGAATGCTTTCGCCCTTCCCTGCTTTTATGGTAAGCGCTTTTGGCGCTGACCCCTATATAAAGCCGCTTTTGGCACAATTTCTACTTCCAGCGCGCTAAGATAATTGTGGTTCTCCTATTTCCAGGGCCCCATAGAGGAGCAGGATGTTCGACCAAGGCAAAGCGACATCCTCGGAGCGAGGCGTCACAGCGCACTCGTGGCTTCCGAGCCGTGAACCGAAGTAGCGGGACTACATCACCGACTATATTCTCGCCATGCATACACAAGCCGAATGATTTGTGACGATGGCTGAAGGCAAGATGCGAGGAGGCAGTGAAAGCGCTGCTTCTTAACAGAAAATCCAACGCCAGAACTCTGTGGAATAAAGCAAACAGGGTAACTTTTATCCGTGCAACATCAACGACTGCTGCCTACATGGCAGGTGCTGCCAAAAGTGTTGTATATTTTTCCAACTAGTGCTGAAGCGCTCGTGGCAGGAAAGACACATCGATTTACAGGTGGTAGCTAGTCAATACTCAGAGCAAAGCCGACAACCCAGCAAGAGATATGTTGGTAGAATGCTTTTGTTTTGTTTTTCTTTTTTGACCAAAGGACGATATTATGTATTCTCCCTTCTTCTTGTGACTTCTGTCTTATATATTGTTATGGTTGCATAAAGATGACAGGATTTGTTTAGAGGGTGAGGATGAGATCCAGCACTCAGAATTAAAGACGGAGTCCTCAGGTCGCAGCGGACAACCTCGTATTTCAATTTCACATCCCCGGCTCACACTACCGCCCGGCTCATACTGTAGGAATATAAAGGAGAAAAGAGCATGAGTGGTCGTGAACTGCCCTGGCTTTTGTCATCTGCGATTCATGATCAGCGATAGCAAAATGGCCATCTAGAATTTTGGTAAAGGTGAGATCTTGCTAGAAAATGCAATAGTTTGGTTCGACAGAAGGCAAAACAGAAAAAATAGCCTTATTTGAACCCCAGCGCCCACATTTCTTCCTGCAAACGAGACGGTCCACGAGTTAGGTCGAGTTGCCTACTTCCGGGTAACTGTGAAGCTACACAACTGCCAGAAAATGGATGAGCGTCTACAAAACTACACTGAAACTTTTGAAAATTATCGGCTTCTTGGAAGTGTTATGCCACCACCGGATAAAATACTGAAGAATTGGGACGCCCCATCTGTCGTCTTAAACTCAATGAGCGCTATTAAATACCATTTATTACCCTCTTGCTCCTCAAATAGTTAGGAGGAGGTTAGGGGCAGACAGAAAACTAGGTGGGCAGATGAGGTTCGGAAGTTTGTTGATATAAAGTGGCAGCAGCAAGCACAGGACCGAGTTGACTGGTGGACCATGGGAGAGGCCTATCCTGCAGTCGGAGTAGTCACGTTGATGATGATATTGATGATGACAAATAGGGAGGCATTCGAAAAGCGGCGCTCGCAAGGTGGTGATTTCGTAAACCAGGTCTTGGCATATCTTGTTCAGAAATGCAATAAGAAAAAGTTATAGATAACCACTGTGGAGCGAGAGGGACTTTCGACCACGTAATATGGCAGTGTGATAGCTCCCTAGACGCTAAATCAAATATAAATTGTAGAGAGGCCCTGGAAACCTTGCTGCAAAGCGAGGACGCTGTTTCATAGGATCAAGCCATCCGCCTAGCGGAAGAAGCCACGAGGAGTCAAAACGTCTTTGCCTGCTTGTTATCGCGAGATGCCCGTCACCGTCACCTATGTTGAGGGTGGATAGTAAGGGGCCTTTTTATCTAACAGAACAATAAAGTTTTCATTTATCCACCCATTCACACTGAAGGACACATATATAAAATCTGATCTCTCCTTATCGCACCTGTTTTACCATGTAAAAAAAAAGGGATTGATCAAGTGCTCGCTTGTTTTTAAATGTGAAGCATCTCTTTGTGAACTTCGGCGACTTTGAGCGTATCTATCTATCTATCTATCTATCTATCTATCTATCTATCTATCTATCTATCTATCTATCTATCTATCTATCTATCTATCTATCTATCTATCTATCTATCTATCTATCTATCTATCTATCTATCTATCTATCTATCTATCTATCTATCTATCTATCTATCTATCTATCTATCTATCTAGCCGCCTACAACTTTTAGCTCTCCTGGCCGTTTTGACAATGGTATCAATGCGAAACTTGGTATTACATAACGTGACTGTATGAAAAACATATTTGACTACTCGTAATATGAAAATTATTACATATTTGTCATGAATGTTATGATTTAAATTTCATAGTTCTGTGGCTCTGGCGGTAGTTTAGTTCACATGGCATGTTGCAAAACTAATATGGTACGGCATGATTGCATGGCGCACACAAGCGACAGACCCTCTACATGAAAATCATGACATGCGTCTTATGTAACAACATGACTACATGCCACGCTCATGTTGCGCTCGTGGCCATTTCGCTTGCGTCACATATACCAAATTTGGTATTACAGTATGTGAATGGATGATGAAGTTATGTGACTGCTGCAAACATGAAAATTATGAGATGCGTGTAATATAACAACATGACTTTATACTACGCTCATAATGCGCTGGCGGCCATGCAACTAGTTTCACTTAAACCAAGTTCGGTATTAGGTGACGTGAATGAATGACGAAAGTATGATACTGGTACGAACATGATTAACATGAGATTCGTGTCATATAACAACATTACAACATGCTACACTCATGATGCGCTCACAGCCGTTTAGTTAGCTTCACTTGTACCAAGCTCGGTATTACGCAACGCGACCGAACGGCATAGGTAAATGACACATCGAAACATATTAATCACGGCATGTGTGCCATGTAGCAACGTGTCTACATGCCACATTGATGATGTGCTCGCGGCCGCTTCGCTAGCTTCACATATGCCAACTTAGGTACTGCGTGACGCCAATAGAATACGAAGGTGTGTGACTGGTGCCAACATGATAATTATGAGATGCGTGTCATGTGAGAACATGACTACAAGCCACAGTCAAGCGGCAATTCATTTTGACGTGATACGGCGCGCGTGCTCGCCGGCGTTCATTTCGCCGCGTCACGCCGGCGTTGCCACGCCAGGTGCCGGTCCTGCCATATACTCGCAGGCGCGCGCCGCACTGCATTGCTTTGACGCATGCGCGTTTCAGCGCGTTTGGTGTCCCTCTGTCACGAAAAGAGGGAGACGCAGTGTTGTCTGGGTAACGCATCGGCGCGAAATGCAGCATGTTGGATTTCACGCCGGTTGCGGTCGGGCCGCGCCGATGGACGATAGTGGCGCCTGGCGTCAGACTGTAGAGTGTTCGCGTTTTGCTAACGTAGCGTCACTGTGCCCAGCGTTCGCGCGTGTCAATGTTACATTCCTGTATATTGGGCCCTTCTTGATGCGCTCGCGGCCATTTTGCTAGCTCCACATATAACAAATATTGTGTTACGTGATGTCAATGGATGACGAAATATATGACTGATGATGATGATCAAAACTTTATTAGTCCCAAAAGAGGGCACCGGCCGAGAGGTGGGTTATGCTGCTTAGAGGAGGTCAGCGGGGATTCCTTGGGACACCACAGCCGCCATTGCGCGTGAGATTACCCGACGTTACTATGCCGAGTCAGCAGTGATACGCACAAGGGACTCCTACGTATCTTTTGTGTGAGGAGCGTCAGCGTACTGTGGACACGTCCATGCCATGTGCATGAGGGTGGCTGATATTGAGCAGTATTTACAGAGTGGTGCCATGAGGTGTGGGTATACCTTGCTATTAAGCCGCGGGTTGGGAAAGACACTTGTCTGAAGCTTGCGCCACTAAACGCCATCACGTCGAGAGAGGTCTTTATGAGCTAGAGGATAGCGGAGATGGCCTAGTCTGTAGTGGTGTAGAATGCCCGTGTAAGTGACCAAAGAAGTTAATTCTTCGCAGGCCTGGGAGCAGATGGCGAGTTGGGAATCATTTACAATCACTTTGGTTATTCGCTTGGTTCTCGCCAAAGCAATGGCAACCTCTTCGGCAACTGTTATATCTGACTGGTGCAAACATGATAATCCTGACACGCGTGTCAAGTAGGAACATGACAACATACCACGCTCATTGCGAGTTCACGGCCATTTCGCTAGCTCCACATATACTAAATTTGATCTCACGTGACGTGAATAGGTGACAAAGGTAAACGACACATCTAAACATGACAATCATTACACAGAAGTCATGCACGGCATCACTTACTTCCACCTTGTAACGTTGTACTGATTCTAAAGTGACATGCATTTCTCATTTTGCTTCGCATATGATCGATTTCCACTGTGCATACCCAGGCAGCACAGAACGTTGGCAAAATGTTGGTGATAGATCGGCAGTTCATGGCCCGAGAATGGCCTAGATATGACAATGTACCGCCAATAATGGCTGACCCAGCTGAATAGAACGGCAATGTTGGACCAGCATTGACAGCGTACCGCCAATAATGGTTGTGCCAGCCTAATAGAACGGCGATGTCGGGCCAGCATTGACAATGTTCCGCCAATAATGGTTGTGCCAGCCGATTAGAACGGTGATGTTGGTCTAGCAATCAGAACTTCCCGCCATTATTGGCTGTGCCAGCGTATTAGAACGCCCACATGGGCCCGAGCTGTACAACCAACAGCCAATATGGGCGGAGCCATGCAATTAGGCTGGCATCATTGGCCCGTCGTTCAAACGTTATGAGCTGATATCTGTGTTATGAGCTGATAACTGCGTCTGCTACTTTTGGCGATGTTCTGGTCCCACTCACCTTCGATTTTTCAAGTTCGAGAAAGTAATATGCCGAGCGCATGTGTGAAATACTTTTTGTCGTTAAATCACGCACACCTAGTTGATATGCATGATTGTTGATTGAAGTTGCGCGAGGTAGACTATTTTACTGGTAAAGATTTATCGAGTTCGTCGCCTGTCAGACGTCCGATAATGGGCTTTGGCAGATGAAAATTGTGCAGATCTGTGCGATGAAGCAACCGCGGATGCCACTGCCAGACGTGACCCACTTCGACGGGACCTGGCAGCGTTCGTTTCATCGCATCACGCTGGCGATGCCACGCCAAGCGCTTTCGATTTCGTGGATAACGAAGGCAAAGCGTATCGTATCGTGTGTCCTGCTATGCTATCGCCACGACTGATTTGTTTTTTCCCGTTCACAGCGCTGTACCAGTTAACGGCACACAAGTGCTTGGCGTGTGGGAACTGGAGTGATCAGTTGCGTTACGGTGATTGAATCGTACAACACACGCCTTTGCCGTAATATGAAACACGCACCGACACTCGCATCATGTATCGCAACGACCACACGAATTACCTACAACATTGCAGCGAGCGGTTGGTAAAGTGTGATGGAGT